CTTATAACGGTTTGACCCCTGACCTTCCGCCTTCTAGGGTTTTTGGAAACCACGCCTGCCCCGCCGCATTCTCTCCCGAAATCTCCGCGTGTCCCGCTGGATTACTAAGTGGGTCTGGTGGGCTACCACATCAAATATGGGCCGACGAAATAGAATTCAATACTTAGTGTTTCTTTGGTGGAATTTTTTCCTAGATATTTACGACAAGATATTTTTCTTCTTTGACCCTGCTATAAGATTCCTTTCTCATCTTCTAGCAGGCTCGAGGACTAAGTGTGTACACTTCACCTTGCGGTGAATGTACTGATTTCCTAGTCACTCGATTATTCGACAATGCCGGGGACTGGTTGCTTTCTCAGCTATGCTGAGACTGCATATTTTTCTTTGACCCTGCTACAAGATTCTTTCATCATCTTCTAGCAGGCTTGGGGACTACATTGTGTACAATCCACCTCGCGGTGCACGTACTATTTCTTCTTCACGGTGTTTCGACTTCGTCAAGTCTGTCATTTAATGCCTATGCTCTGCCCTGATGACCATGTCGTCAGAGCCATCACAATTGGCACTTAAGTGTGTACACTTCACCGACTAAGACTTCAGATTTTTTTACTTGAGCTCCTTATATCCTGCCGACAAACCTTGACTTCACGTGAGCCCAAACTCGGCTCCCAGTTGAAATACTTGACATCTGTTTCTACAACTCGAACGCCATGTTCAACAGCTCGGACGACGTATTCAACAGTTTGGACACCCACTTCAACAGCTCGGACGCTCGTTCAAACTGCTCGGACGCTTGCTTCAACAGCTCAGCTCCCAGTTAAACTGATCGGAAGCCTGCTCCTGGTGATTAGTAGCAAGTTGGACAGCTCGGATGAACTCAAGACGGTGTTGCGCGGCGGATACAAGGTGCTCGGGGACTAGCTGTGGAGGTATGACCTCCGATACCTGCAGGGCTATACATGGGCTGAGCTGCTAGGGGAGGCCTAGCCCACAAGACCGCGCATGGGTCGCGCCACTAGTCGAGGCCTAGCTTACAAGACGACGCCGCGTGAGGTACGGCGCAGGTCAGCGTGCCTCGCAAGACTGCGTAAAGATCCTCGGTGATCTAGGAAATCTACTCGGATATGCTAGATTCTGTAATATCTATGACTTCCTATCTTGTAAACCGATCAGGATAGAAACAACCGATCTGTAACCCTAACCCCCAGGCTATATAAAGCGGGTAGGGACCTCCTCATTTTCATCTGATCATACACAATACAATCCACAAAGACACAGGATATAGGGTATTACGTCAAGCTGACTGCCTGAACCTACCTAATCGTTGTCTCTTGCGTTTTGTGTCACCATTCGGTTTTCTCACGCGCACCTCCACCGATTCATCTACTACCATGGGCATAATCCTCGGTAAACTGCCGACCAGATTTCGTGAACACCGGTGTTTGTCGAAACCGTGATCAAGCCCGACAAAGAAGTGACGTCAAAATCCAAACCTTGGGAAAACATTGAAATGCTAAGAGCGGTTTATCACAGCTCTAGCTGACCATCTAAGAATATACGTATGAAGATGCTCATCCCAAACTCTAGAAATTCTTAGACCTAGAGCCCCGGCCTGGTTAAAGATGTTTAATTGAGCCATTTAGTTGATGATATATTTAGCAATACACACATTTAATTAGAACACTTTAATTTATTATCATATAAATTCTAAATTCTTCTTGGATTCTGAAGTTGCAAGCAAGCCTTAAATTCACAGAAGCCATGGTGGTTATTGGTCTCATGCTTGGGGCAAAATCAATTAAGTAAACTAGTGGCTTCGTCTACCTTATTGTGTGGTAGACACCTTGAAGAGTAAATAAGGATCAACTTAGGCTTAAGCTAGAGCTCATCCTTCTATCACATAGGATTCTAGTAATCAGATCTGATTTCTACATCAACTAGAATCCAGGAACAATTGAGTGAAACAAACTAATAAAACATAATAAAATACCGAGCTGTGTAAAAACAGCATACACTGTTATTTATATTTGTAATAACAAATCACCGCAGGGGTGTTACTTTGTTAATTATATTTGTAGCAACAAATCGGGTGTTCACATCCGTAGTTTTGCATACCTTAGTACGTCTCTTGGTCTTCAGTTTTATTAACTATTAAACAAATACAAACCTAGGTAAATCAATAACACAGTTATACATGATCCACTGAAGCTGAAATTTTATCATAACTGAAGCATGCAATGAGTAGCATACCATAAAATTTTCATCACAATTGGAGCACAGGAGCTACAATTATGAATTAAACACAGAAACACATAGATCTATAGTTACAACAAAATCTTTAAACTAAAACATGTCATATTATATATATATATATATATATATATATATATATATATATTGCAAAGACCTACTCATATGGAGTCTAACAAAACTAGAGTTTCCTTTTTACTATTTTTCTATGATTTTATACCATTTTAAAAGTTTCAGCCAATTTATAAAATAAAAAGAGCACGTGGCGCCACATCAGATGCCATGTAAGTGGCATGCTTTGGATGGTGGCAAGGACATGGTGAAAGTTTATAGACCTAGACGAGCAAAAAAAAAAATCATGAACCTAGGTGAGAAGTTGGGAAAAGTTTAAGGACCCATAGCACAATTCACTCTATAGTTTGGGAGGTTAGATTATTTTGACATCCGACTAGTAATCCAATGTTATAATAGATTAGAAGAGCTACACATGAGACATAGGTTTGTATTGGTTCAGGCGTGGACTAGGTTGGCCTACATATAGTTTATGAGGAGAGCTTTATTTTTATGCACCGCGTGCGAAGGTCCGCGGGGGTTTGGTGTATATTCGTCAAGATGACTCTCAATAGCCATTGAGGGTTCCCTACTTCTCCTTGTATAACCTAGAAGATAGGATTACAAATTTACTTCTCTAAAAGGATGTAGATTGGTTTCCTACCAGATACAAAGAGATCTAACCAAATAAGACTACATGTGTGTATCAATTTCTATATATATTATGTAGGAGCTTTTTGAAGGATTTGGGTTTTGCAAATACGTATCCAAAATAGTTTTGAAGATAGGATTTTTATGTTGGACATCTAAAAGTAAGGCGAGAAAGAAAATGTTTGACTTAAGTTTGACGTAATTGTGCGAATTGATCATAGATAAGTTGGTTAGGTTCCTGGTGGTGCAACCTGCTCACTCGGGTTCAAGTCGTCGATTTGCATGGGTGCTCGCATTTTTCTAGATTTATTCCAGGATTTAACGGCGCTATGGTTTCAGTGATAAGTAACGTTTCCGTCGACAGTGGTGACTTCGTGAATCTCGAGATCTACCTGCTCAGAAATAGGGTTTACGTATGTGTGTTTATAGGGATAAGTGTACGTGCGTGTTGTGGGCGTCTGTTATACTGTGTAATTCTTAAAAAAAAATAAGTTTGACCTATTTGTCACGTGCAACACAGAACCACGCGCGAAATTTTAAAATGTTTTGATTTTTGCATTATTAAACAATATAAAAAAACAGAAATGTTACGATAGCCAAACAATTAAATACGGTGCCGACGACGACGAGGTCCTCGCATTCACATTGACCAACCACAAGCGGCGAAAAGGATCCGCAGGAAGATGTCGAGGTACACGAGGCCCTTAATTTATGGTGCTAATCCACGTAATCCGAGAGCTAAGCTGCAACCTCCAGCGATGACCGGCGTGACGGCAACACGAACCAACCAACGACGAGAGCACGTTCGGTTGGGTGGCTGGTTCATATTGTTACGGGTTTGTGAAAAAATACCGCTAACTAATTTGTATGAGAGAAAAATACTGTTCTGGTTGGAAAACGAACACGCTGAAGCAATGGCCAGCTCGCAGGATCTTGGCGCAGAAGCAGACACGGCGCACGACTACACACACTCGAGCCACCTGTGTTGTTGAGCCGTAGCAGTACAGTGATATCGGCTCTGTTCGCTTGTGTTACGAACATGGCACGGTAAACTTTACACCTGGATTTAAACGAGGCCACGTGAAGCGAACATGGCATGGCACAGTGAAGTCTGGCGTTCTGTCTGGATCGCATATAGGCAGTACTAGGCTACTAGCTGCCAAACCTTTGCGCCGTGCACGCGCCGTGTTACTGTGCGACACCGTCCTGTTGGGTACCAAAGTCCCAACCCATGTGTAAATGTACTACTACTCCCTCCCATCATCTATCTCGCTTGAGCAATCGGATCGCACTACCCCCCGTGGCCCCGTCCGTCCGTTCGTCATGTGGGCGCTGGATGGAGGCTGGGCCGCTCAAGCAGCGATCGGACGAACGCCCTCACCACTGCCGCCGCCGGGGACACCGAAACGCACGCCAGATTTGGCTCGCGCATCGTCCGTCGTCGGCTGCCCTGCCCATGTGTTGCTGGACACAACACAGATTTGGCTGTCGTGCCGCCTCGCCTATTCGCCTGCTGGCCTGCTGTGTATACGGAGCTCATGTGCCGTCTTCTCTTTTCCTAAGTCAAGTGGCAAGGGAGATGGAGGAGAATGTGCGTGCACTACATTCCCGATCTAGATCGCCGGCCTCATTCATGCTCTCATGCATGTACGTACCCTCAAAAAAAAAAAAGGAGTACGTGCTACGCTATGAAAATGCAATTGGATGGGAGGACCAGGCAGACATGCGATCCAGGAACCCATTTGGCGACCACATCTGTCTTGTCGTGACCAAAATTGCAAAGACTTTTTTAGATTCGAAATGGAATGCTCACATTATACTTACTACATTCGTAGTAGTGGTAGGTAGATACATACTTGGATCCATACATACATACGTGTACATACCAAACTGCTCCCTAGGGAGGCATTGCTGCCTGCCACCCTTAAACCCCACGCCCCGCTCCGGCGCTCCGCCCGCCGGCCGGCCGGGGAACTCACCGCCGCGTCCCCCGTGTGCGACAAGGCCGCCCCAAGTGTGGCACGCTTGCTGACGCTGACACGGACTCCTCAGGGCCGGTGCTCCGGGTGGGAAAGGTAGACCCGGCATTGTATCACCGTCCGCCCGAGCTTGAACCCAGGCACCACGGTGAACCCGACGGCGACGTGCCCGCTCGGTGCTGGCGCCGGCGCCGGCGTCGTCCAGCCACCGCCGTCCGCGTCGCTGACGCTCTCCATGAACACCTCCGAGAACCGGTCCCCGGGGCGCGCCTGGAACACGGACGCGGCGCCGTCGAACGCCCAGAACAGGCAGTGCAGCAGCCACACGCGCCGCGCCATCTCCGCGAACTCGCCGAGCCACGCGCCGCGCTGGTGCGCCGCCGACGCCGACGACGCGCGCCCGAAGAAGGTGGCCTCCATCCGCTCGTGCACCACGGACGCGTACCTGTCCCGGAGGAATTCGCGGAGCGCGCCCCACCGCCCCGCGTCGCCGCTCGCGTCGTTGTCCTGGACTAATAACTCCGCCGCGGCGGCTGACTTGGCCTCCGCGAACTCCTCCAAGAAGCGGCGCCGGTCGTGGGAGGAGCCCCGCCCGTGGAGGGAGCTCAGGCCCAGGTCCTTGCGGTGGAAGCCCGCGAACATCTTGAGCGCCACGTAGGACTCGAGCGCGAACCTGGCGTCGCCCGCCGGATCTCGCAGCCTGGCGCCCGGGTGCACGGCGGCGGCGGCAGCAGCCGCCGCCGCGGGATCCCAGCCGGCCGCCCGCATCGCGTCGAGCATTGCGCTGGCGAAGGCGCGGACGGACTTGACGGCGTGCCGCAGCGCGGTGAGGAAGTGGGTAGCGTTGAGGCCGGAGAGGTGGAGGTCGTCCAGCGCCGCCAGGGTGCGGGTGCGGGTGCGGGTGCGGGCGCGCTCCTCCAGGCCCCGCGCGGCGCGGAGCTCGTCGGCCAGCGCGGCGCGCGCGCGCTCGACCTCGGCGTCTCGCGCACGGAGCTCCGCCTCCAGCTTCCGCGCCGTGATCTCGTAGGTCCGCAGCAGGTGCCGCTGCTCGTCGGCGTGCGCCGCGAGGGCGAGCGCGGCGGCGGAGCTCCTGGCCGCCGCGGCGGCCGGGTCCCTGGCGTACCGCCGCTTGAGGCTCGACAGCTTGGTGAGCTCCGCCACCAGGCCGGCGTCGGCCGCCTGGATGGAGTCGGCGTCGTACGGGTGCTGCGCCAGCTGCAGCTGCGCGTACGCCGCCTTCACCGCGGACGCCCTCGCGAACAGCGTCGCCACGAACGCGTGCTTCGCGGCGTACGCGTCCTGCGCCAGCGCCGGCACCGGCGCAGGCGCAGCCGACGGCGTAGGCTGCGTCTGTGGCGGCGCCGCCGCCGGCCCCTTCTTCTCCGTGGCATTCTTGAAGAAGGCGTCCAGCGTGTAGGCAGCAGCCAGGTTGCCGGACAGCTTGAGCTTGCTGAGCGAGTTGATGGAGCTGTCGAGCGAGTCGTCAAACTCGTCGTCCCCGGCGACGGAGTACGCCATCCCCGCCCCCGCCGCCGGGGAGCTCTTGCGGCGGAGAAGCCTAGCCAGCCTCCGCGCGATGCGCCCCGGCCTCTGCTGCGGCGCGGGACCCGCTGCCATCGTCTCCATTGCTCCTCCCTCCTCTCACTCTCTGCTCACAGAGCGAGCTATCTCAGTCCACTCCTCGCGCTACTGCCGCTGCCGCTGCCGCAGCTGAGCTCAGCCTGAGCCTCTTGTGGAGTTTGCTGTTTGGCCTCGTTAGAAGAGGAGCGAATGGGAGGATTCGGGGGTGGTATGCAGTAATGCAGATGCAGGCAGGGTACGGTAGGGTAATATTTTGTACCAGATTAATTAGTGGAATAATTAAGGATGCTGTCGCGGACGAATAATCAAGTGGTCTGCCTCAGGTACGCAAGGGGAGGTGATTACGGTTGTTTAATTAATAGCGGGGTTTTGCTTAGGAGGGAGGCACACCACCGGCATGATTATTCCCACCTGCTCATTTTGAGCTTTTACAGAACATTGGATTCGGATTCCTGATCTGATGGATGCGTACATAGAGAGAGAGAAACAAATCCAGGCATTTTTAAGGTTTCAAGTATTCTTTCACACCACACACGGAAGCAACTGGGAAATCAATACTTACAACATAGTATTATAATAGGCCTAAGTTGCACTCAGTTTTGTATAAGGAATCCAATGCAAGATGTTTTTCTGTATGATGAATGCATGTTTATTTGGAATAGTGGGGTGGATCCTGAAATTCCTTAGAAAATGTCGTCAAATGATGGATTGATCTGTATTTTTTTTTTGTTGATTCAAACCTATGACGAGTTTATAAGACAAGTTGTAAAAACCTAAGACAAGGTATATTTCCTCTACATTTGCCGATGAAGGATGCGGAGGCCTCACCTCAATATTTTCAGCATTTTACTAGACATTTGTCCTAACTTGCTAACGTTCAGAAACCGAAAAGTTTTGTTCGTTTGATTTACAACCAAACTAATTAATCCCAACATGATGAAAAAAAAAGTCAATTTAAACAAGGCCTCGCTAACGTTCAGAAACCGAAAAGGAAACCTTTTTCCCAACATAAAGTCAAGTGAGCAGTAGGCAGTACAGACAGTACTACCCCCACAACATCCAACAGGTAAACGGCTGAATCATAGGCAAGCAACCAATGGAGCAGGACACATTCATTCGAAATGATTCGAAATCAATGACCCATGCCCCACCTGTCAGCCACGGCCGATGTGCCATATGAGTTGCGAAGAGGTCTTGTGTCTTGTTCCACGCTGCGTCATTACTCAGCTAGCTGGCATCCGCACGCACGAACGAACAGCCATGGTGGATCTGGGATCCAATTGGGAAATAGCGTTAAGAGGAAAGAGCAAGGGTCCGATCTTTAATGGCTTTTTGTTAGAACACTCACAAGTTCCCTAGCCCGGGCAACCACTCTTTGGCGTAGTCTGCGACGATCTGCAGGTGGTGCAAGCATAGGGGACCAGCTCGCTCACGGCCCGTGCTGTAGATATCATGGCGCGGGTGCACCAGCTGGAGAAGGAAGCACTTCGCTCAGGGATCACCCAAGTCTTTGCCATCGCCCGCTCGCATTACGATGAAAGCATCGACTTGGAGGCGATGAGCCTCGGTTTCACGCCTAGCTACGAAGCCTCCGAGCTGGATGAAATAGAAGAGGTGGTGACTCCTCTTGCGGAAACCCTGGTGAGCAAAGTTGAAGATATGGTTGTCCCTCGGAGGGGCTAGTTAGTCGAATAGGTCTGATGGATATTATCTGTAATATGTGGACAAGTGTCGACACTTTTGTATTTTGAAAACAGATTCGTAATTTTGTTTCGTTTAAACAAATTTGTAATTTCATTTCGTTTGGTTGAACTTGCTTTCTTTCCTTTTTGCATTGAAAAAATGAGCTCATGCAATCCGACCCTTCTGTTTGTTAAGACCGTAGGGCCCGAAGTATATAAGAGGGAAGCTTCGATTATGCTGATGAGCAAAGTTACCGTAGCCGTCGGGGCATGGGTTTTTGTAGTCTGACCAGGCATGCTCCGTTATTTATTCCCACAAACCTTACCACTAACCTTAACGTGAGGAAGAGGTCCGACGCCGCAACTGTTTCAAAAAAGGGGTATTTATACCTTTATCAGCCCCCGAGTGAGATCCGACCCCTTGCTATTGCTGAGGTCGAATGTCACTGGAGACCAAAGAGAGGATAGCGAAACTATTGTTGTATTCGCATGTACCCCTTCCTTAGGATTTTAGCTATCATTCTGCTATTGTGCATTCGGTCTCCTTGCAAGTCCAACCTTCCCCGAGCCCCCGCGCGTGGCGGGGATTCGGTCAAGGGTCGGCTCGTTCTTGTGACTATCGCCCTGTCCACGGTTTTCGCAACCAGAGGAGTTGAGGCGATGTCACTTGCCTCGATGGCTCGAGTGGCGCGCTTGATGAGCTCGCTAATGAGGATGTTCGAATAGAATCCGGATCTCGTTGCTTGTGACCATGTTGGCGAAGCCCTCGAGTGGCATTCCGTTGCTCCTTAACCTGCCTTCCAATAGATTCCCCCTCAACGGGATTCTATGGGCTCGGCTAGGGGCTGGATCGAACGAGAAGGTTGAGATGACCCTATCTGCCTCTATGCGGGTTGGGCGAAGGCCGCTGAGGCTCATCTGTGTTTTCTCCCCTGGCTCTTGTTCAACATGAGGCAGCCTCAGGCCCTTTGTGGGCCGGCCTTCGAACCTCGGTCTCTCGATCTAGGATCAGGCGGCTCGAGCCCCTGAGCCCCTTGGGTCTGATAGGGGTCGGCCGTGTTTCACGCATCACCCTGTCCTTAGTTTCCGCAACCAGAGGGGCTGATCTAACGACACTTGCCTCGACGGCTCAAGTGTTGCGCTCAATGAGCTCGCTAACGAACATGTTCGAGTGGAATCCGGATCTGTCATCCGCTGACGGGGTCGACAGAGCCCTCATGTGGCATTCCACTACTTCTTAACCCGCCTCCCGGCAGATGCCCGAACTGTTTGATAGGCTCGGGTGGCCCGTTGGCCTCTCCTCGATGGAGGTTTTGTGGGTTTGGCTCGAGGTTAGAATCGAACGAGAAAGGTCAAGATGTCCATGTCCGCTTCTGAGCGGGGTTGGGCAAGGCCGCTGGCGCTCATCTCAGTTTTTCTCCCCTAGCTTTGTTTGACATGAGGCAGCCTTGAGCCCTTCGTGAGCCAGCCTTTGAACCTCGGTCAATTGCCGCTCATATCAAATGAGGTGACTACCGCTTCGTGACGCGACGCGAAGCGTTGAGATGCAGCAATTGCATATGCAACGCTTGGATATATATGATGATTGTATGATATAATGGAAATGAAAGCGGAGGTCGATGATGCTGCCTTGGTGGCATGAGTGACGAGGAGCTCTTGCCGGACATGTCCGTGCGGGGTTTGGGTCCGACGTTTGCGACGGGGCCGGTGTAACCTGCACGAGCATCGCAATTTTTTGTTTTTGTCTCTCGACGGCGATCTGAGCCGTTCGATCGACTTGGGCGACCTGACAGCTTCTCCTTGAAGGAGATTTCGCAGGTAGACCCCTCTGAACCCTTCTCGAGAAGGCAGATGCTAAAGCTTGGGGTGCGGGGACAAAGCATTTGATCACGCTGATGAACAAAAACACCGTAGCCACTGAGGCGTAGGGTCTAGCGGTTTGACCAGTTTTAATCAAAGTTTACACCTGCACACCGTGCCTCTGGTTTTTAAACATAAGGAGGGGTCAGGAAAAGAGAATGTCTAAACGAGTAGACACTCTCGGTAGCCCCCTGCCGTTGCTGGGGTCGGAGGCTCAGTAGTGGAATTGATATGTAAAGTAAGTAAATAAGGGTGCTTATCTTTCGGCGGCTGTTTGGTTCCTCAACCCTGTCGCTCGGCATTCGCATGGGCCGTCCGATCGACTCAGGAGGCCCGTTGGTCTCCCCTTGATGGAGGTTCCATTGTTGGGCCCTCCAGGTCTTTCCTAGGAAGGTGGAGAATCGCCTGCATGCGGCTGCGCCTTGTTTCTCATGCTCGGCATGCAGTAGTGGTGGGCCATGCCCTGTTTGACCAGGCATCATCTCATCGAGCAAGGCGCATCCCGTCGGTCAAGACGCATCCCATCGACTTCCCATCCGCATTGAATAGGGGAAGGGAGAGGGTTTTTCACCCTAATCCTTCACCTTTCTCCAACCGCTGCGTCTCCTTCTAAATAGGGGAAGGGAGAGGGTTCTCGTCCTGTTCCTCCACCTATTCTTGAGCCCTGCCTCTTCTCCTTCTTCCTTCTCAGCCGAGTGCATTCGTGCATCGCGGCGGTTCCTGAGTGAGAGAGAGGGTGAAGCGAGGGAGAGGAGAACTCACAGATCCGTTCATGAATCCGGACCGTGATGTCAAGCTGGAGGTCATTTAACGTAGATCAGATGGTGTTGGCTACCTTCACCGAGAAGGGGCAGCTTCCGCCGAAGGAGGAGACGCACTGGAGGGTGCTTTATGTTGCTGGCTTTGTCACCGTCTACGAGGCCTTCGTCAGGATGGAGACGTACACAGACTTCTTTCAACAAATCTTCTTTGGGCAAGCCTTGTCAGTGGGGAAGCCGCCTAGGATTACGCTGATAGGGGGCTTCGCCCTTGTAGCCGCTTAGGTCGGCCAGTTCATCAAGTTTGATGAGATGTCGGAGACATCCACCAGCCATGGCGACCATACTTCGGTAGACAGCGTCCCCGTCCAGGAGCTGCCTCGTCTCAAGGTGCCGTTGTCAGGGTTGCGGCTAATCACGATGGCATAGTCCCTGGATGCCCTGGCAAAGACACCACGGTCACCGAACGTGCTGCTTTGAAATGACCGGACACAGGACCCAGCGTCCGATCATTTCTAATAAGGTTCCAGTCGTGACCGGACGCATCCGATCACCACCGACCAGACTCACCCAACGTCCGGTCACTCACTGTCTCCTCTATGCACTGCCACATCAGTAGGACCTGACGCTGAATAGTGTTCAACCAGAGTCCGGTCGCTGCGTCTAGTCAAGAGACCGAGGGCGGCCTTCACTGTGCGCCACTGAATGGACGTAGAACTCCAGCGTCCGGTCATTGCGTGACCAG